TTTAATCATAGTTAAGAATGAAGTTCAAGAATTTATTCATGAATGAGGTGAAATTAGCATGTCTAAATTACGTTAGTGCTTGTGCAGTATTTTACTAGCTTTGGGGATTACTATATTATCAGTGGACAACAGGTTCCTTGTGGAATGTTAGCACTTCTTTATTAAATGTTGTATGATGCTGCTAAAAAATCTCGCTTTACATTAACTAATAATCTTCACCATCTATATTACATTCGGTCATCTCCGACTAACTGTTTGTCAGCTCATAAGTGACTGTCTTCTTTCTTAAGTAGATATTGACTGGACTGTTTAACATTAATCTATTGAATATCATTTTCAAAATGTGATCATTTCTGTCGGTCCAATTGTGAACTTTCTTTGCACGTTGTAAAACCTCCTCTAATTTAAAACTTTAACATTCCTGGAAGTATTACTCAAAACTTATGCAAGATGCTATTCGCAACAACTTGTCTCTAATGAACTGTGTCTCTCAGTCACAAGTGATGTTTGTAGAGACTTAAATGTTTTGCTGACACCTTGCATAATAAACGAATCCTGTAATCAAGTTTCTGCCTAGAAGGCAGCAACAAGTTAGAGTGGAAAAAATTTTAAATCAATTAATTTGCTCGTAAAATTCTTCACTTTATAATAAGTTAGTTTCGTTGCAAAAAAAAATATTCTTCTATTATAAATGTACTAGTCCTGGTCACAGTTAACTATTTCACTTAAAAAGCTACGCATCATCATCATCGTCATCAACATCATATAACAGAGTATAGAATGGTAGTCAACTCAACTCAACCTCAACTTCATCGACCTTGAAAAGGCCTTCGACAGCGTCGACCGAGAACTAATTTGACAGGCAACTGTTCCAACACTAAGGAATGCCACAAACCCTTATCAGCCTCACTCAACAGCTATATATGCCATGCTATATGATGCTGCATGCCGAGTGATCCACAATGGAAAGTTCAGTGACGCCTTTGAAGAGAAAACAGGAGACAGGAGTGAGACAAGGTTGCCACCTACTAACACCCATGATCTTCCTGATTGTGGTCGACTGGAATGGACCGGATAACGCAGCAGACAACTGTGAGGAGCGAGAAGAGGGGCATACGCTAGCTGAACCGATGAAAAGACTGTGGAAGAAGATTTGGATTTCGCCGCCAATGATTCATGTCTGATGTATTGTGGCACAAGGTCGAAGATCTACAGGTGAAAACTGACAAGTTGACAGAAGGGGTGGGGCAGCAAAGACGGGACTTCCTTCAGGTGAATGTAGAGAAGACAGAGGTGATGAAGATATCCAACCAACAACAGAATCAACAGCAAGAGATAGCAATCACCATGAAGTGGAGAAACCTAGAGGAAGTTGTCTCTTTCACCTATCTGCCTAGGCAGCATCATTTCAACTACAGGCGGTACAGGCACAGGCACAGGCACAGGCACAGATGAGAATGTCAAAGCCATCCGGGATTGGAAAAGCAAGACAAGCATTGATTAATCTGAGATCAGTGTGGAGATCTACTGCACTGCAGTGCACTCAGCATAAAGCCTAAACAGGATCTGGATTTCCAACACCAATGTCAGTCAAGTCAGTGCTGTTATGTGATGGTTGAGAGACTAAGCGCATCACGAGAATCACTTGCAACAAACTACAGACATTTATGAACAGCTGTCGCCTACGCTCACTCCATACTGACACTGAGGATCAGATGGCCAGAGTAGTAAGAATAATCAACAAGGATGTCTGGCTGGCTGGCTGGCTAGCTTGCTGGCAGACAGGCAGGTTGGCAACGAACCAATCAACCATCATCCCATTCATCACCCAACAAATATGCAGAAGAGAGTGTAGATGGATTGGATTGGATTGGGCATACACAGAGAAGGCTGATTGGGGACATTACGCGCCAGTCCATGCCATGCCATGCCAGGCCAGTCCAGGCCAGGCCGGACAAGACTAGACCAGTTCCTTGAGTGGAATCCATATGAGAGACGACGAGTTTGGCGTCCGAGGCGAGGGTGACATGGAGGAGATGGTGTGAGGAAGAAATGGAAGGTTGTTTGGAGTGTTGGATCCATGTTTTGAAGACTGGAGAGAAGGGAGTGAAATGGAGACGTGCTACTGAATCCCTATATTCCACTCGGAACCCAAAAGACAAGTAATAATAATAATAATAATCAAATATCATACAAAAACAGAAATTGGGTTGCATTTTGGCTTTTAGTAATCTCAAAGAAACGATAATCCATGTTACTCAACAAGTTCGTGTAACATTAAATCTCCGGATCTCATTCACTGACAGTTTATCTTAAATCAATCCAGCACTTTATAAAGATAACGCCATAATTTTAAGTGTTATCGAAATTAAGTTAATGTATTGCTTAAAAATTCCGTTAATCACTTAATAAATGCAATTGTTTGAGAAGACCTTATTTGAATTGGGCGAGATTCTAGTACCATGCCTTCTATTAATTTTGGAAAATGTTTCACTCAAATATATGTTAAGTAGATTTAGAAAATGAAACTGCCGAGAATATAAACAGCAACTTGGTTATATATTCCACAGTGGCTGGATGTATGCGTACTCTAGTCAGCGAAGGTACCCTCACTGAAACTCAACGACACCGTCCATCACTTCCAACACCAAAGTATAACCCAGTAAGCTACTAAGTTACGCTAGTTACACCTTGCTCACCGGTTATCATCATGTTACTGAAATTCCGAACTTGCTGGTCGCTAATTCATAGGACCAAAATGACCCAGCCAAGTCGATTCTAACATGAACCAAATAACCACATAACAATTTCTGAATTAGGATCTTATTCCAGATAACTGGTGCAACTACAAAACTATTTAGTCATGGAGATTCACCGTAACTAGAAGAGTTCTAATATTTTAAGGGGTTTGAAAATAATTTGATAAGAACAACATTTGAAGCGATTTGATAAAATATCTTCTAACAGCATAATGAAGAATTATTAACAAGAATTTCTGATTTGTTTGTCAGTAAATTATAAGATCACTCAAAATATTTTATCAGTACACTTTTTGAAACCATCATGCAAAAAAGGAAACAATCCTAGCAGACCTCAGAAGCAGCTGTATATCTTAGTATATCTGTCAATAAAATGCAATAATGTTCATAACTTGTTTAGATCTCAATCGCAAACAACTGTGAATCAAATCTTCTTCAGAGTTAGGCTTATACTTCACAAAATGAGCAAATTTTACATTGAATGTCGGATTTTACTATCACAACGTTAATCATACCCTGATTTATCTTTACTACTTTTAATGAGTATGTGAATTTAGATCTTTTGTGAAATGTTTTGTTCAAAGCTATCATTAGTGGTAAATGTATTTACAGTGTGAAACTACAAAACATTACAAATCCCCTTTACTTTGCATATTTGGTCACTTTTTGGTACTAATCAGTCTCACCGAGTACAGAAGGCATAAAAAGAAATAGGTGCTTACATTTTCATAGTTTAGCGAAAATTCACTTGTCAAACACTTCAGTATAATTCGTAATATCGTGGCGAACAAATTAGAATGAAATACTATTCTCATCTAGTATCTTATCTTGATGTATCAGCTATGTCAGACTAGCTAGTTCTTACAGTCAGTTTTACCTTCAGTTTCAAAGCATTTTATTTCCAGTTACCACAGCATCCCTTCTATCACTTCAATGTCGTTCACCAATAGTCTAAAATATGAAGACGCGGAAATTGGTACCATTTTGTAAATAGTCAATGGCGATGTGATACTTTTAGAACTTTACCATTCTATTAAGTCTCACAAAGGTAGGTATTTTACCTAATACATGCAAGTTCATCCAACATGAGATGGAACATAAGTTCCCACGCTTTTTGGCAATATGAAAAATGATATTATTCTCCTTTTTTATTTGCATGAAAGTGGTCATGAGGAGAAATATTTTTGTTTTCGTATGCTTTGTATTTTGAATAATCTGTCAAGTGAATCCAATACAAGCATACGGACAGCAGTATAGTGAAATACAAATCACTCGATAATCAGCACCCCCAGAGAGTTAACAACCTATCCCCAGTTACTGTGAGACCTCCCACATTAGATTCTTTACTTAATATAGCACAGTAATACAGTATTATTTACTTGTTAGCATTTGAAACAGAATTCATTGCACATATTCACATAAACTATTATTGTTCATCAACCATTCGTCGTAAAGAAATGAATTTCACACAAAACACTCAGATCCGAATAGATCTCATAGAGTGGGGAGAAGTACTTAAGTTGGTTTTTGGAGTTTACGAATTTCTGTATTTTACACTCAACGTTTCATCACTAGACATGATAATTTTCTCAGCACTAACAATCATCATCCTCGTTCTTAATCACAAAGATTTTTTGTTATCTCAAAAGAAGTGTTTGTTAACAAACTAAACTGCCCTGTTAAAACAAATTGCTTCAGTAATGCGCTTTATGTTATGTAAAACCATTTCATTCTTCACTTTTGTAACTCGTTCAACCTGAACACTTCTAAATAAACACAGACGGAGATTAGGAACATCTTTGTCAGTCTCTAATTTTGTTGACTCTTAAACTATCACCACCTTTCTATCCAATTATTTTTATCAGAATAACATGTCCCAAAATTAAGAAAAAGTTGCAATAATAGTGAAACTTATTGTTTTCGTTGCCATAGATGACTTTCTGATAAATCATGAATA